GTTTAGAAAACAGTCTCTTATCATTTCCATTAAATGGAAAATATGCTACTGGAAGAGAAGCACATGAGCTCCTTTTGCCCATTATCACAGCATAGATTAATTTGTTGCATTAGCTGGCTGGGCCAGCTGGAGGGAAAATTTGGAAATTTCTGAGGCGCGAGGCAGGAGAGGGGGTAGTGGGACTGTGTAAATCTGCTGCCACCTGGTGGTTATCTCTCACAAGTGTCAGTCGCTGGCCACCGTGAGGCCCAACATCATTTTTTCAGAAGGAAGACCTGAGTACCTCTTTGGCCTGAGCCAAATAAAGGGAATTGACTCTGTCCACATGCCTTATATTTTGTAAAATTTGCAAAACAAATATATTTTTGTCCTTGTTTGTTTCTTAAAAGGGCCATTAAGCTTATACAACCAGCATTTCCTCTGCTTGTCATTTCTGGAGAGTGGCCACAATTTCTTATCAGGTCAGAAGGATTATTCCAGAGACTCTGAAGTCAAGAGCAGTGAAGCTCAGTACAAACTCAGCACGAGTCTGCCTTGCTATGACCTTGCTTTTTAAAGTGTGGACTGTGGATATAGTCACCATTGGCATTAACCTTAGACATTCAGGGTTTCAGCGTGGCCCATGTGGCTCTGTTGGTTGAGCGTGGTTTCAGGCACCAGGAGGTCGCAGGTCTGGGTTTGATCCCCTGTAGGCGGTGTGTAGGAGGCAGCTGGTAGAAGTTTCTCGAGATTTCTCTCTCTTTCCTTCTCCCTTCCTCAATCTGAAATCAATAAAAACATATATATATATATGAAATGCAGAGTTTCAATTCTTACTCCAGACCCACTGAGTCAGAATCTGCATTTCCCAAGAGCCCCAGGAGGCTCGGTTGCTTTGCCTTTCACAAGGAAAGAAGGGCCCACACCACACCCGCCCAGAACTGGCTGCCTTCAAGGGTCTTCCCCCCCCTCCCCCCCCCCCCCCGCTGGGAAAACTCCAGCAGAGTGATTTCAATAATAAAAGGCCGAGTGTTGCTCCAGCTGGGATACTCTGGCTCCTGTTTCCTTGGCTACAAAAGAAGCCATAAGCATACAGACCTCCCAGGGCAGGGGTAGGTCTCTACAGTGCTTCTCTCTCCTCCGCCTGAACTCATTCTCCGTGGGGGGCAAAGCTGTGGTTCGCTGAAGAAATGAATGGGCAGCCGTGTGAAAGTGTCTTGCAAATTGCTAGGTGTGACTTAATGGTAGGTGTGATTCAATAAATGGTGATTTATTGCTCTTAAGCAGCATGGGATGGTCAGAAAGAATTATTATCACTCTTATTTATTGAGCAGTTACTACCAGCAGCACTGCTCTAAGCACTCTGCAGGTATTAACCCACCGACTCCTCACACTAAGGCTAGATGGTGGGCGCTATGATTACCCCCATTTTACAGATGACCAAGCTGAGGCCCAGAGGTTTGTAAAAAGAGATCTGTCCATCAGCGAGGCACAGAGGACAGTCAGAACTGGAAATGCCCAGGTGAAGGGTTATTTCCATTCAATCACAGCTTTGGGTAAGACCTCCAGGAAAGAGGGCTGGATGTGAGTAGGCAGCAAGGGAGGACGGAGCTGGCTGCATCTTCATTTATTCTAATTTGGCTTTACCCGTCCATGCTGTTCGCTAGGAAACACTTTCGAAGAGCCAGCTCTGAGCCAAGCACCAGACTGGGTGTGAGAGGCAGAGATAAGAGCCCCGATTCCTGCCCTCAGAGAGGCCCAGTTAGATAGACTCAGACAAGTAAACAGAGTTACAACATCAAATTGTGAGAGAGATAAGCTGAGGGAGGGAGAGAGGAAGCAGGTCCTGGGGACATACTCACCCAGTCTGGCTGAGTGTCTGCAGCCTGGAGGCGAGATACCTTCCTTCCGAATAGTACCTTCCTCCTTCCCCGAGTCCTCCTGCTCCTTGCATCGTGTGTGGAATAGACTAGGATACCATTGTTTTCCTCTGAGAGCAACAGCTGATTTCCCTGAGCCTGGCTTTCTGCCAAAGGTGAGTAGCAATATTAGTGATTTCATCCATATGCTGGGATTTCCACTTTCCAAAGCTGTTCTGCTTCTGGGGCTGTTCTTCCTCTTTCTGTCAGATAAGCTCCCCGGAGGTATTATCCATAAAGATGTGGGCACCGTGTAGGGAAGCCGCAAGGATGGCCTAGACTCCCAGGATAGTAACGGAGGGTCTCCGTTTGCTGTGTCTAAGTCTGAAGGGACAAGTAGGAACAGTGACTGGAACCTGTGAGGGAGCTGTGTGAAGAGGCTGTGTGGTGGAGCTGGGACTTTGTGTTCCTGGACCGTGCGGGGAGGGATTCAGGGGAGCAGATTTTGGCTTCACCCTCCTGCTTCCTGCCAGTCCCCTGCCGATGCCCCAATGGCAGTACCAAACTGGAACTCAACTAGAAACAGAGGGCAAGGGGGGGGGGGGCGGTGCAGTCCGTACAAGTCAGCCTCCTGGGACACAGGACAGGGAGAAGGGTACAGAGTACGTGGGGATCTAGGTGGGCAAATGAATTGACCAATGTTATGGGCTTACCCAGGTTATGGTTTGAAAGGCACCCCTCAAAAATTCTTATGTTGAAGTAAGTTCTAGCTCCCAGCACCTCTGTAACTGTGTTTGGAGACAGAATCTTTAGAGAAAACTCTTGCTTTGAAATTCCTCCCCTATTGAGGGTTTGGGTCTTTGGGTTTCCTCCCTGAACCCTTCTAATTCCTCAGCGGCGGTCACTGCAGGGGCCTCTGGGGGGCAGGCCTGAGTGGGAGAAGGGAAGTGTGTGGTCTGGGCTGACAACTAGCTCGGATTTGGACAGAATTAGAAACTTGTTATGAGGCCTGGGAAGACTATATTTAGCCGGGCGTGTGTTTGCTCTCCCTCCAGCACAGTCTTCTGGACCAGGGGCGGCAAACTCATTAGTCAACAGAGCCAAATATCAACAGTACAACGATTGAAATTCCTTTTGAGAGCCAAGATTTTTAAACTTAAACTTCTTCTAATGCCACTTCTTCAAAATAGCCTCGCCCAGGCCGTGGTATTTTGTGGAAGAGCCACAGTCAAGGGGCCAAAGAGCCGCATGTGGCTTGCGAGCTGCAGTTTGCCGACCACGGTTCCAGACCTTCCTAGGACTGGGAGACGGGAGCCTCCACACTTAGCCCAGTGGCCAGAGCTGTTTTCTCTCTTCTCTGTTCCAAAGGGCCCTGAGGTAGCAGTAACACATACCTCTCAGTTTAGTCTTGGGCCTCACATCACTCTGCCCCCTGCTGTTGGGGTCAATTTTACCTGATCTCCTCTGCTAACCAGCCTCCAGCTCGAGGCACAGCTGAGGAGGCAGGGTGGCATTCTGGGAAGGGCCAGGCTGGGCTGGAAGCCCAGCTGTGTCAGTTACCTATCAGACAAGTTACTTAACTCCCTAAGGCTTCACTTTCTATTCTATAAATAAGATAATAGCCACTTAGCGGGTGGGTGTGTGGATCCAGTACGATAACACAAGTACACAAGCACTAACTATCATCACACATTCCTTTTCTCCTCCTCTCCAGCCTCCCGAGGAGCAGAAAGATTGGATAATTTGATGCTCTTTCTTGCTGACAAAGATGATGGGTTCCTGGGAGACATATTATGTGTATGTGATTCAAAAGTAAAAATGTAAATACAGACTCCTTTACAGATCAAACTCTGAAGGGGTATATAAAGAAAAAAAAATTCTCCCTCCCCTCCTGCAATTTTCCTGGAGATAACCCATATTCATAACCTTGTGTGACCTTCCACAAGTTTCTATCCTCATACAAATACAAACACATACACTGCAAAGGGTTTTCTTTTGTCTTTCAACAGGTTAGGGTCGCCCTAAAGGTGTTTCTCTGATACTTCCTTTTTGGTTTAACTATAAGTCATGGGCATTCATCTAGGTCAGTGGTCAGCAAACTCATTAGTCAACAGAGCCAAATATCAACAATACAACGATTGAAATTTCTTTTGAGAGCCAAAATATTTAAACTTCTTCTAATGCCGATTCTTCAAAACAGACTCGCCCAGGCCGTGGTATTTTGTGGAAGAGCCACACTCAAGGGGCCAAAGAGCTGCATGTGACTTGAGAGCCACAGTTTGCCGACCATGGATCTAGGTCAATATAGAGATGAAACTAAGTCGTTAAAACCTGCATAGGATTCCATAGAATATATGAAGCATGATTTTCCAGCCATTTCCCATTAGCCACCCTTCTTCTCTGGGGGTGCTGTCCCCAAAGTATGGTTATTGGGCTGAAAGATAACCCTGACAAGGTTCCTTTCCCCAGATTATCCAGTTTCCTTCTTGGAATTTGTTCCGCACACTCTTTCCTTTTCAAGCTCCAAGGGGGAGGTAGGCAGCAACGCCTCCTCCGGGGAGGAAGCATTAGCTGCTGGCAGCATCCTCATTGGGACGGTTGCAGGTGGCGCCCCAGGGCCCAAGGGTTTCGTGGGTCGCGCTAAACAGCAGCAGACGAGACTTGGGCTCCATGTGACCCCGGGCCTCGGCTGGCTTTTGCGTAGTCTGTGACTCCAACCCAAATAGGCAGAGGTGGGACCTAGGGCTGGAGGCCTCCTGGTGGCTCCCCTAAAACGTGGGCTGCGTCGCCCACCTTCCTCCTCAACCTCTGCCCACCGCGCGGGCCCCACCTAACAGGAGTGGCCTCACTGAGGCCAGACAGGGTAAAGCAGCCACTAGAATGAATCCCTCCCCTAGATCGGCCATTTACAGCTTCTGCCGGGCTTTGGCTCGCTCCCTCCCTCTTGGCCCGGCTGTCCAGTGCTCCTGTCTGAACCTGGCCGGGAGCCGAGAAGCGCGCCAGTTCGGCCGATCCTTTGCTTCTGCCTGGCTCCGCCCCCCCCTCCCCCGGCGGGGCCGCTGGTGTAATCCACCGCTCGGCCAGCAACTTTGCCTCCTTGGCCTGCGGCTGGCGCTTCCGGTTCCGGTAGCCGCTCACCGCGCTGGGTCGGCGGCTCCGGCCATGGCGGGCAGCCGGCTGGAGACGGTGGGCAGCATTTTCTCGCGGTGCGTGCTCGGGGCCGGGGTGGGCCACCAGGGTGCCTCCGCCGGGCGGGGGCTCAGCTCGGGTGTGTGGGTGAGCAGGGCGGGCGAAGCCTTCGCTCAGGTACGGTGTCCGAGCCGGGGGAGGCCTAGCCGTGCTTCCTCCTGCTTCTCAACGGTTGTGCTTGAGGGTGTCACTCCTTGAGCTTCTTAGCTTTCACGTTCGAGGTTGCACCTCTCCCTTCCCCGAGCGAGTGGAGGTTTCTAGGAAGAGGCGGCTGGGTCTGGCCGAACCGTCTTTGCCTTGGACGTGACGGGAATGGGGCTGCGCTGCCGGGTATAGGAGGGCTTAACCCTCTGAGCCGGACTAGGCGGGTTTGCCATATGGAGCTATCGGACCTGTAGGTGGGGAACACCCCTGCTCCCCCCTCCTTACGGCTCCGTGATCTGGAGCTGTCTCGGCCTGTGACTGCACTGGTTCAGGCTGTGGCAGCGGACTGACCTTCCTGGTTTTCCTTCCTGAAGGACCCGGGACCTCATGCGGGCTGGGGTATTGAAGGAGAAGCCCCTCTGGTTCGACATATACGCCGCCTTCCCCCCGCTGAGGGAGCCCGTCTACCGCAGGCCCCTCATGCGGTACGGCAAAGCCAAAGCTGACATCCAGGACGTCTTCTACCACGAGGATCTCATTAGAGCGTGAGTGCCCCAGCGCGGGTGCGCGGGGAGCTGCGGGAGGAGAGGCTTCGCTAGCGGTCTGGCCACTTAAATCGACTTTGAGTCAGGGCTTGCCTTATGGAGACGGTCTTGTACATTTAGCAAAAACGAGGGAATCAATTCCCTCCCTCCCCTATGTGAGAGAGACAGGAGTTCTGAGAAGTAGAAGATGGAGCCCAGCAATTGACTGATCATTGCAGTTCCTTGTTTCTGCACATCTGCTTTGCATCAGGCACTTAACAGGGTTAAGCACTTAACAATCGTCTCCTTTAGGCCTTACTCTCTAACCTTGCAAAGGAGGCATCCTTCTCTCCATTTTAGTCATGTGGGCCTCTGAGACTTACAGAGGGCAGCAAACTGGGAGTTCACTGGCAGAGCCTTTCCCTCAAATACTTGTCAACTAGCTTTATCCTGGGAATTGGTATGGTTTCTTTTCTGTTAAATGTTAAGATCAGAGGTTGTGCCTACTAAGTTAATATATATTCCTTATCCTTACCCCTATTCCTAGGTGTAAGAAAACAGAATTTATAGTTATATTCTCTATTGAAGTCCAGGTACCTTTCATTTGAGGGTGTTTTTCCTCCCCACACAACACCCCTTTGAGGCAGGAAAACAAGTATGTTCTTGCGCTACTTGGAAATTTTCAGGATAGGACACAAGATCTTTGGGGTATTAAGTACTTTTTCAACACCTTTTCTGCTCAGGTGCATTGGATAATATGGTCAGCATGCTTTCCATGTTCATTTATACATTAAAATAACTTATGTGATAGGGCAATGTGGAATATTTTATAGCTCTCTTACTACTATCAATGCCAAAATAGTAACACCTTGTATTTAAATAGGTTTTGAACATCTATCTTTGGGGGGCAGGAATGTGATGATGTTTTATATTTTTAAGAACTTATAACAACAAAATAAATTCTAGAGCTATCAAAACCTAGATGTAAAAATGTGAAATCATAAAAGTACTAGAAGAAAACTTGGGAGAACTTTATAAATAGTCTGAGTGATTGAGACCTTTTTAAGGATGACATAAAACCCAAAAGTCATAAAATGAAAATATTAAAATTTTCTGCATAAAGAAGTACCATAAGCAAAATAAAAACTCACCCTATATACTGGGGAAAAATTTGTAGCATTTTTGTATGACAAAGGGCCATATATCTTATTTTTACTGCTATAAAGTTTGCATATAAATCAATAAGAAAAAGACCACCAAATGGAAATCAGCAAAGACATGGACAGGTTGCAGAAAAAAAATCTTTATTGTTCCTTTTAAACATGACAAGATACTCAGTCTGTTTCACAAGAAAAGACAAGACTACTATGAGTTATAATTTTTACCTATCAAATTAACAAAGACCAAAAGTTGGAAAATATAATTTGGTCAGGGGAAATAGGCATTGTCATTTATTACTGGTGTGAGTGTAAATTGGCACAAATGCTTTGGAAAGCATTTTGGCAATTGCTCATACTTTGCCCTAATAACATTTTTATGAATTTATTCCACAAACTTATTTGCACAATGCACTAAGAAATAAATTGCAGTATTGTCTAGAGTAGCAAAGGACTGGAAATAATCTACGTACATTTATTTAAAAATGGCCTCTAAGAATTTTTAAGAAAAAGGCAAGATATGGAATAGTGCTTGCTATCCTTGAGGTTAAATGTGGCTGGAAATGGAATGATAGATGCCTGCATGCTTGCATATTAATGGAATATTCCTGGATGGATACACAGCAACTGGGTAGTGTTACCTCCTGGGAAGGGAACTGGGAATTTGGGGTGCAGAGGTGAGGAGGAGTGTTCCTTTTCCCTGGATGCCTTTGTGTAACAGTGGATGTATTTACCATGTGCATGCGTTACTTAAAGACAAAACCCAAACATTGTTAGGCTTAGGCTATGGAGGTGATGTTATAATTAACTCCTCAGGGCCTAGCAGTTATTTCTTGGTTTGTTCTTGGAGACTTATCCGGTGCTCTTTGTATTTCCCAGGAAATTTTATTCAGCCTATGGATCTGGTCAAAAAGCTTTTGATCTGTTCAATCCAAACTTCAAGTCTACCTGTCAACGGTAAGCCATTTTATAAACCCTGGGTGAGTTATTTTATTTTTAAGAATTTAGTTACCAGCTTGAGGAGTTTTGTTGAATTGCACTAGAGAACAGTGCTCCTATAAGGAGGTCTGTTGAGGAAATGCTTCACACAGGATAACAGCCTGCCTTGACTCCCTCAGTAGACAGACCTAAGACGTGACTGTTTGGAATTCCAGGTTTGTGGAGAAGTACTTGGAGCTACAGAAACTTGGAGAAACAGATGAAGAGAAATTATTTGTGGAAGCAGGGAAGGCGTTATTGGCAGAAGGTGTCATTTTAAGACGAGTAGGAGAAGCAAGGGCTGTGAGTATTGTATTATCAAAATTGTTATTAGGATTAGTTGTCTACTTGTCAGAGATTAAAGGAAGGTTTGGTTTTCTTTCCCCAACCTCGGCTCATGTTCCTGAACTCCAGGTCCAATACTGTTAGAATCTACTGGAGTTTTGTGATTATGATTGAGACTTGGAGCAAGTGGAGTTGTCATTGGGTCTTTGTGCCTTTGTAGAGATTTTTTTTTTTTTGTAGAGATTTTTTTTTTTATCATATTTGTTGTTTGTAACAGAATTTGACCTGAAATATTTTTTAAAAAAAATATATTTTATTGATTTTGTACAGAGAGGAAGGGAGAGAGATAGAGAGCTAGAAACATTGATGAGAAAGAGTCATCAATCAGCTGCCTCTTGCACACCCCCTACTGGGGATATGCTTGCAACCAAGGTACATGCCCTTGACCGGAATCGAACCCGGGTCCCTTCAGTCCCCAAGCCGACGCTCTATCCATTGAGCCAAACCGGTCTCGGCTGACCTGAAATATTTTAAAAAATCTTTATTGTTGAAAATACATTGCCCCCCCCCCCCCCCCCCATTGACCTCTTCTAGCATGCCCTCACCTGAAATGTTAAATTTTTGAGTCAGTGATAGAATGTGCCTAAATCGTATACCGGTAGCTTCAGCCAAATACTTGAGTGAAAATAACATCTTTGTGACATACTTCTGTCTGGTCTTCTAAGCAACAGGACGGTAGTCAAGTTTCTGGGAAATCTGAACCCACGGGTGTCAAATTGCAAACTTTGTTGGAAAAAATCCAGCCTCTGAAGGAAGTTCAACAGGATCAGCCTTCGGAGGCACCGGAAGAGCAGTCGAAAGGCCCCTCACCTCCCTGAAGAACTTGTATACCACATACACTGACTCCAAACTGTGTTCACGGGTGAATATTGAACTATTTCCAATAGTTCAGCTGTGTAAATGTTTCTGGATCTCAAAGGCATTATGTTTGCCGTCTTTTAGTTCCTGTTGCTAGGTTGTCATAAAGCTCAGGTTCATGGTTTGAAAGAAGCAGTTATGTGAACTTGAGCGGTTAGGATGCTCTTCAATAAAGAATTCCTTAGCTGCTTGTAATGTAAATTTACCTTAACATTGTAAATAGCACCAGGAAACCTTTGTAAGTACTGTTTGAATGGGACTCACTCTGAGCAGGTCTGCTTGGGTGTTGGTGTTAACATGTGGCTGGCGCCCTGGCTGGTACAGTGCTGTTGGGCATCATGCTGCACATAGAAAACTTGGCAGTGTGATTCCCGGTCAGGACTCGATCCCCGGGATCCTAGGGGGTGTGCAGGAGGCAGCTGATCGATGTTTTTCTTTCATCAATGTTTCTAACTCTGTCCCTCTCCCTTCCTCTCTGTAAAAAACCAATTAAAAAGAAAAAAAAGACTGAATCCAGATGGCATCTCTTGGATTGCCAAGAGGGAGCCACCAGTTCAGATGATGCTCTCCACCTGCCTGGGTTGCGGGCTCAATCCCTGGTGGGGGGTATGCAGGAGACAGCTGATTGATGATTCTCATTATTGATGTTTGTGTTTTTAAAATAAACTTTGATTTTTTACAGAGAGGAAGGTAGGGGGAGAGAGAGTTAGAAACATTGATGAGAAACATCATTCAGCTGCCTCCTGCACACCCCCTAATCATTGTACTTGCTGCTATAGAACTACTTGCTGGAATCGAACCTGGGACCCGTTAGTCTTCAGGCTGACGCTCTATCCATTAGCCAAACAGTTTAGGGCACCATTGACTCTTTTCCTCTGAAAAAAAACAAAAAATAAGTGGCATATTGCTCTGAGATTGTCCCCTTTGCATTTGTAATCAAGCTGAGTAGGAAAAGTGGTTTTCAGCTACTGGTAATAAACTGCTTCAGAAATTTATTTTAAAACTTGTGGTTTTCTACCCTGTGTTCTTTGTGTACAGTCACTTCTGTCTCCTGGTACACGAAGGGTGGGGCACACATCTCAGCCTGTACACCTCCTGGCACATGGTGCTCAGATAATGGAAGGTGAGGGACTACATGAGGCAAAAGCAATTCAAAGCCATGGTGCTTCTCCCGCCCCCCACCCCCCTTCTTCAACCTTTATCTGCAAATCCTCTTGCTTTGGGAACGCTTCCTTTTAGGTGGGGCAGCACATTTCACCCACTGACAGCAGGCAGCCATTGGTTCCAATGCCAGGCCAGACCTTGGGCGGAGGATTTAGCGGGTGGAGGGGATAGTTCTGTTCAGAGAAACGGGTCACTCGTTACTTCTCTAAACTTGATGTTTCTGGGGCTTAAGGGGCGGTTCCTTATTTTTAAAATTAACGGCAATACCATTTGTAACAATATCAATAGGAAATGTGTAAGAACAAATCTGAGAAAAATGTACCGTGAAAAGTACAAAACATTATAAGAATTAAAAAAAACCAATGAAGGGCAGTTTCTTTTCCACTCTTCCAATATTGAAGAGTTTTAAAAGCTATTTGTTGCATACATCTTCAAAAATTATACATGCAATGGTTCTAAATGTAAAGGCGACAAGCCAGTCTCCCTCCCCTGGCCACAAGCCACCCATTTTTTTTTCCTCCCCTAAGGCCACTGCTATCACCATTTCCTTTTAAGAAATATTTTGGGCATATACACGGGGACACTGCATACTGTCCTGTACCTTGTTTTTCCACTTAATATGTCTGGGAGATCCTTTGTATGGATCAATCAGTGCCCAGCTGACAAAAGCATTGTTTTCATATTCTCTTGTGCTGCAAACAGCTGGTATAGCCAGGGGGTGCATTCTTAGCCGTGGTGTTGCTGGGTCAAGAGAGAGCTCCCCTTCAATGTTGTTATTACCCCAATGGAAACTGTTCACTTAGCCTCCCACCAGCCGTGAATGAAATGCTTACTCACCAGGACACTGATCTTGTTAGCCAGCCTGGGGCTCACGGGGACGGCCTGGGCCTGGCAGAAGGGGAGAGACGAAGCCTTAGAGCAAACCTTTTGTGGAATCCCAGTGACCAAAGCCGAGTGGAAGGTGTGGAGTCACTTGGGGAACTCAGAACTCTTCCCACTGTGGGCCTGGACTCTGTTGTTTGGAGGGAATGGAAGTGGAACCTCCTTGTCTTTAAGGAGCTTAAAATCTAACGGGGAGAACCAGCGTGACTTTCAAAATAATAAGATGAACAGGAATCCTTAGAGTTATGGGGGAGAGTCAGGGTGAGAGATCGGCCATGGGCTAGCCTGGGGACACTGCACGGAGAGCCGTGAAGGGTGGGCGAAATTTGGGGATTTGAAGTGCGTGTGTGGCTGCTTCTGTCGGGAACAACGCCTGCCACCACTGTCCTTAGAAGCCGTGCCTTCACTGCCCTTTTCAGATGGAATCTCTGCTCAGAAGTTTTACCTAATGTTCACGTCTGCAGCCCCTTATCCAGCCCCTTCCAGACTGCGCTCACTGCACTGCAGCCGGCACGCCCGGCCCACTGTCTACTCCTGCCCGGTTTACCAGCTTTTCATTCCAGAGACACAGCTACTCTCTCTCACGTCAGAGTGTCAACAAGGGCAGAAGTTCCTACCCACTGAGCCCACGAGGCATGGCACAGCCCCTCAGGAGTAGACCCTCCATGCGGTTTTTCTGAGCTGAAGGGCATGTGTCCTGATTAGAATGAAATTTGCACAAGACGAGGCTGAAGATCTGGGTTCTGGTTCTGGCTGCTCCATTTTTTACTGGTGAGGCTTCGTGCCTGTCACCGTCTCTTGGGCTTCTAGTCAGAAACATGAGAATTAATGGGTATGATGAATCAAAGCCCACTTGTGAGATGTGTGACAGGTGCTTTTATGACTCTCGAAGAGGAGTGGAAAGCAGGTTTGACCAGGTAGGATGGGATCTGATCATGGTGGCCTCAGAAACTCGAAGAGGGATCCAGCTGGGTATAAGGAAGCTTGAACGAGGAAGTGCTGTCGTGAAAGCAGAGTCAGGCCAAAGGAAGATTTGCCTGGATGTGACATAAAGAATGTGGCTGGGGGAGTGGGCCACGAGGGCGGGAAGAGGAGGCCTTGTTCTCTGAGCAGCCATTCCAGGCGGAGGCAGAGATTCCAAGGTTATAAGCCTGAGCGGCCAGATCAATAGCATCACTAACCAACAGGAGGGGAAGAGCTTTGATACTTAACATACTGCGTTAGAGGTGACGGAGCCGTCCCAGTGGCAAACGGTGAGATGGGTCAGGTGCTGGGAGAAGGGGCGGAAGCATTGGAGCCGGGAGAACGAGTGAGCTGTCCAAGGGGAGTGCAGACACACACAGACGTGGGGGGCTGAGCCAGGTGAGTGCTCTCAGGTAAAGGGCGGGAGGAAAGAGAAAGCCAGCGAAGGAAACAGGTCCCACATCTTCCATCACCGAAATAGCGAGGCCCATGTAAATGGCCCTGGATTCCCCAGGTTTTAGAGAGTTCTCTTTTTGCTTTTTGCTGGATAGCCTGACCCTTGATTTGTGTGTCCTTAAAAAGCAAGCCCAATTCTTTCTGTAATTTTGTATAATACTTAGTGTTCTCAGATAATGAAAATGTTATTATAGAAAAAAAAAAAATCGGTGCCTCCCAGGGATTCCTAATTTGGTTAAAATGATACCTTTCTCTAAATAAATGATGGCTTGCTACTTAAAAACATTCACTGGATTTTTTTTTTTTTTTAAACGAAGTCATTCCAGTGGGATGATAAGAGTTTCTCGGAGGCTAACACTGGTGCCTGCCTCTGCTTTTGGGGATCCCCATGAGGCACGCGGGAGTGCGGGGCCTCATCCACCCTTCCCAGCGCTCAGCTGTGATCAGGCCTGACTCAGAACTGGGCTGGCGGTTCTCCTGACTGCATAGGAGCTAGGGGTGTGCGACACGATGTGGCTACGGTAGCTAACACCAGCTGGCCTCAGCTAGAGGACGGGTAGGGCTGGGAACAAGAGAAGGTGAGCCATGTAAAGGGGGTGGGGCCATTATTTTGTTCCTGGTCTCTGTGCTCCTGAACTCTGTTCCAGAACAGCCGAAAGGTGGAGGACTGACCGGCTAGGGTAAGCTGCGTGTTTTGACTCTTCGAGGGTGCTCGGCGAGATGGATGCTCAGGCAGGTTCAGTGAGCAACTTGGTCTGGGTCACCTTGGCTGATGGAGGAAGGGCACCCGCTCTCCTGTGGAAAAGACAAGAAATGGCTTTCATGTCACTGCCAGGGTAGCGCTCCGTGTGGCAGGCGGGCCTCTGATTGGATGAGCCCCGCCCTGGAGCAGCATCTGTGGAGCCAGACAAGTGGTTATTGCCGCAGCACGAAGACGGAAAGGTTGCTAGGGGAAGGCGAAGGAGGCAGGACGCTAAGTGCTTATGTCCCCTACAAAATGCAGCAGCCACTGCCCCCTCCATCTGTGCCAATGACAGAGAGGGGATGCTTGTCGAATGCCAGCTGACAACGAAATTACATTTGGGGTCTAGTTTTGCCCTCAATGGATGCTTTTTTTCCTGGGCTGGGACTTAAATGCCAGTCACCTGACCTTCTAGCGTCTCAGTTCTTTTAATTAAAAGACGCTTCTAAGCACCATCCAGGAGTGGGCTATTTATTATTTATCAAGCATTTCCTTCCCAGCAGTTAGTGAAAGGTCAATGGCTTCAAGGGATGCTTTGTTTTTGGCGAGCAGCTCAGATGAAAGAGGTAGACAATCAATCCCCGCTTCCCTCCTGTTTGCTCTGGGCCAGGGCACTGTGTAATCGGCACGGTGGCATTTAGGATCGCAGGCTTCTGAAACATGCAGAACAGTGCCTGTGCATCCCTTGCTACCGAACGTTTCTCCAAAAGTAAACACCAGGTCGTGATGATGGTTAATAATGAGGTATCGATT